TCCGGTTTACAGTGCTGAACTCGTGGCAACATCTTACATTTTCATGACAAGAACCTATATCTGGCATTCGAGTAGCATCTGGTGTAAAGTGTCTGAGAAGATTCCTTTTTGAAGAGAATAGCAACTCTTTAAGATTGAGAGTGTAAGACAAGSGCGCTGTTATTAACAGTCTGCGTTTGGTACAAGTGTGCATGGACTTAAGTGGAAAATGGTAACCCGATAACCACATTTCGTCTCGAGTGCATCTCCATAAATGTATTTAGTACCACACCTCTGTGTGTACATATGCATTTATGTGTATCGGTGTGTCTGGATGTGTGTCATAAAYGGTGCCATGCATTTGAAATAGACCCAGACTCTGTTCTATTCTATTCTAGGGAACAGCACAATGATATTTTATGCAAATCTATGGGAGTCAATCTTCTGTCCATTTCCCCATCACACAAGTCCAAATGACAGTCCAATAATTTGGGCTGCATATATATTGGGCCATTTGATTTTTAAATGAGAGAGAGCAGAGTTGACCCTTGCTAATAGCCAAGGCGCAGTGGTGGACCTAATATCACAGATGTGCTAGCAAAGCTGCAGCCATTTGAGAGGAATTGACGAAAATTAAATTTGAGGAAGGGGGTCAGAGATTGAATAATTAAAGAAAAAAATATTCCTTTATTGGTATTGGTAGAGGAAATAAAGAGAGGGAAACATAATGGAGATAAATTAAACATAAAAGTGTAACTGAAAAAAAAAAAACAGCCTCCCGTTCCTGTTCCTCGTTTCCTCCCTTTTCTCCCTCCTCCATTTAAACCCCTGGTTTTAATTCCCCCACCCCATGATTTCAAGCCATGGTGTTGCCAAGAGGATCATAGGTAATGAGATGGCCTATCTGCTGCTCCCCAGGGGTGAGGCAGAAAGCGGGAGATAGGATAAAAGACAGTCGGAGACTAAACAAAGAGACTGGCTAAAACACAGGTGGTGAAAGAGAGTGAGACAGCAAGACAGAGGTGTTTTATATATGAGTTTTCTTCTGTGCAATCTAACTAAAAGTAACCTCTTTTCTCAATGTTGGTCATAAAATGTAGGAAGACTACAAGGTTCTTAACTGAAAGGATATTGTGAGAAAAGTGGTCAACATGATGATTTGGAGAAGTGCAATGGACCCCAAACAATCCTTTCTGGTTAAATTCAGATGGAAAGTTGAACAGACCAGCAACGATTTAGGTGAGTCTAAGATTTATTTAAACATCCATCTGAGAAACAGGTGCCATGACCTCCGAGACACCCCTTGTGTGTGTGGTCCTTGACTGTGCCACATTGACCATGAACATTCTCAACTCCCAATGACCCAGGGGCAAGCACAGCAAAGATCTTAACCTCAAAGCTCTGCTGGGATACATGCACACAAACACATGTTTTATACAAGCTCAATCCGCTACTTATGCGGGCGGCACTTGTGAATGGCACTGACAGATTTACTCCCAACTCCATGTGTATAAAGGCCATTGTTTGATATTTAAAATCATAACAAAGCCATACATCATTATATTCAATGCTAAGCTAAATATGAGCCAGGCCAGCTGTGGGCACACTATGCTAAGGCACTACGTAATGCAGAGTTTACCTCAAAGGGTAATAGCACACAAACTCTACACTGAAACATATTTTATTCCATCATAAACATTATTTTAGAGGATTTTACTATAGCTACAATACTAATGAGAAGTAAAGTTCTCACATTTTGAGTTCATCTAAAAGCTGAATTATGAGACATATGATGTAAAAGTACTCCAAAAGGCAGTGTTTTCTTACATTGCCTTTATAATAGGCAACAAGATGTAGACCTCTGTTTTTCCCATGCAAAGCCTGAGAGTTCCTGTGCCACCTGCTGTGCCTTGGACACCAGAAGACGTGATGTCCATGAACTGCTAATGTCATTTCCCTTTTGCTGTTTCAAAGTCTGGAAAAAAAAGACACTTTCAAACTCTCAATTCCCTTCAGAAGTACTCAATTGCCGCTACAAAGCGACCATAAAATTTCCTGAATATGCTTTTTGTTTGTGTCTTCAAATGGTTTCCCATGCCATAAAGATATTCTCTGTTTCCAAAAAAGCCAGATGGTAAAGTCGTCAACACTCGGATCTTTTATGCGCTCGGCCAAGCTACCTCTATCCCCATGTGCTTTTCACCTCTGCCAAAACATAAAAGGAGTGGGTTGTATTTTTTCGGTCAAATAAAGATTTTTTTCCCCTCTGCTTTCCTCAGTCCCATCTATGGTTTCTCCACACCTCTCTCGCTGCTTTACCACCACATGTCCGAGGGTAAAAAAAAGTGGAATTTCTGCCAGAGGCATTAAAAGCGTCATCTGTAGAACAGATTTGTTCAGGCTTGTGGAGTAGGTGGCTGGATAATCGGGTGCACTCAGGGGACATTGGGATGACCCTCACTTGCCTTGGCTACACTCGGGTTACAGCTTGAACTTTTGTTGAAAGCAAAAAAAAGGCAAATTTAGACCTTTTAACTTTATTTGTGTCCAGGTAATAGAGCTTCTTYGATTGGTACATTCAATTACACTGATAATTATAGGTTTTTACATCACTAAATGGCTGCTAAAGTTTAGTAGTGCAAACTTGGTAACTTATAGGTAAAGTGCTCATACTAGAAAATTACACAAAAATGACTCAGCATCCTCAAGTGGTTGTATGAGTGTACATAGCCTGGTAAAAACCAGACCCTTATCCTTCACTTTGCTTTTGCTTCGTATGAGGGTCTGGACTCGTGGATATAGAGAAGCGATTCTTGCTGGAGGCGTGGCCTGAAGTTTGTGTGTGTGTGTGTGTGTGTGTGTGTGTGTGTGTGTGTGTGTGTGTGTGGCTGTGAAGGAGGCTAAGCTAAGAAGCTAAACGGAAATCACGTGTGCTGTAAACAACCCTACTGAGAGGAGAAAAGTATTGAGCCCAACAAGACGACTGTAAATGAGAGCTGCTGCTTTGTCAGACAAATTTAATTTAATTTGGAAGCCTTATCAATACGGACTGGCTTCATTCACTTCCTCCAGTGCCGTAAGCTAAACTAACTAGCAGCCACTGCACAGAAAATCGACATCGTTCAAAACTCCGCCTTCTGTTTGCTGATTGGCCCAGGTAAAATAAACTACAAGCAGACACTGTGCAGAAAATCAACAAAGTTCAAAACTCCGCCTTCTGTTTGTTGATTGGCCCAGGTAAAATAAACTACAAGCAGACACTGTGCAGAAAATCGACGTTCTGTTCTCAGATTGGTTCGGCTAAAAATCTGCCAGAGAAATCCTTATCTATGGGAGAAGTCCCAGACGGAGCAGAGAAGGGAAACTAGAATTGAGGGGAACTGCGCAGGAAGGCAAGGGCCAGGCTAGTGTGTACAGTCGTGTGGATCTGCTCTCAAGTCTTCCTTTGACAATGAAAAGACTCTGATTTGAGTCAACTAATCATGTTGATTCAATAMACGAGGACCTCAGGTAAAGTTGTCAAATGTACACGCAGCATGTTTGCTAAGATTTTTTTTATTTCCCTCTAGCTAAAACATCTCCAACTCATCCAATGCCAGGTTCAGTCTAGATCAAGAAATAATCTAGTCTTAATATGAACATCCTGTTTAAGTTGGCTAAGACGGTTTTCGATATCCCCAAGAATGCAAATTAGCCTAATCCAGTCAGAACTTGAAACTAAATGTTAGAAACAGAATGATATTGTGAAATTATTATATATCCTCAAAAAATGGCAAGTTAGTTTACAGCTAAAAACACACATAGCTTTTGTAAACCCTTTTACTGTTTGATCTTTGATGTGAGGCACAAAAGTATAGAAAAAACTTGTTGGGACCAAATACAAAGTGTAACGTGAACAGTATTAGTTCACCTTTATCGTTCTATTCTCCAGCAAAAACAACTGCATCRTTCAATCTGATCTATTTTATCAATAGCTAAATGAAAAAACTAAAAGGACAACAGAAGATATTCAAAATTGTAAAATACTTCCCCGATAGTTCACGGTGTGTGTGAGATCAGGAAAAACATTAGTGCCAGCTGAGCTGCTCATAAGCAGGAAATGTAATCATATCGGATGAAGATCGTCTATGGTACTTTCACAGTGACCTTTTCTATTTTTGTCATTCCATTCTCATGGGAACTTTCTGTCTGTGTGGTGCTGCACTTAAGGGGATGAAATGAAATCTTAAAAATAAACAAAAATATGCATGCCTTTTTCATGTATCCTTGCAGTATCAAAAAGCATTTTTTTTCTTATTCAAATATCTTTTGATACACATTTATCCTTATCGTTACATGTTTCAAAACTGCTTTATTAGTATCATCACTATTATTTATCTTCTAGGACACAATTAGCACATCTCAAGCAATTTTTGTTTTTACCTTGTAGAGGCGGATGGCGGACTCGTGCCTCTGGTTGGTAGCATGTAGTCTCAGTTTATCCACGCTGTTGCTGTAGTAGTCACAGGCGTTGCACTTGAGGTGCACAGGGTTGCCAATGGCCACGCACTTTAATCTCCACTGGTTGGCCTTGCCTCCCTCCTTGATGTGGGCCACCAGCTGGTGCTTCTGCATGTGCTTGTCTGTCTTGCAGTGCAGCTGAAAGTTGGCCTTGAGCTGAGTGTTGTAGCTGCAGAGCTTGCACTGGTAGACGTCGCCCACCACGCAGCGCCACTCTTCCTCGGGCAGGGAGCGCTCGGCATTGATGTGCGTGTTGAGAGCCTCTAGGCTGTCGGTGGAGTAGCAGTTGCACACGGCACACTGGTAGAGGCGCAGCGAGGGGTCGCTGATAGGTGGTGACAAGGAGGAGAGGGAGGGGTCTGATGAAGACATGCCCCCCATTCCACCTGAAGATACCAGGGATAGATCATCTGCTATCAGCTGGCCGCTGGCAAGACGCAACTCTGCTGATAGGTCATTATTCACTATAAAGAAATGAGTAAAAATAYAGGTTAGACAGCTGAATTGAAATGGAAAAAAAAAATTAAAAATTAAAAAGGCTAAATCTAAAAAATTGAGCAGTATTCATGTGAAAAGAAAAAAAAACAGAAAAGTCAGACAAAAGGTAGGCAGCGTGGATCACAGGTAGGACAGTAAACACAAAGATAAAAAAGCAATAATGAGCAAAACACATGGATGTGGTGAAAATGAACAACTTCCATGGGTRTGGGATGATTAAGGATTGAGAGAAGAGGAAAAGGCAGTTTTTTATTAAACTTAGGGAAAAAAAGAATTGTCTCTCACTCACACAAAAGGACTTGATAAAATAAAGCCTCACAAAGTCTACTTACAAAATCTTGTCTATAAAAAACCTTAATAGGATTGAATCAGGATCAATTACAATCATCCTTTTCAACTGCTAACTCGCTCATCAGGTAGCTTTAATTACTGCTCTCAGCAATAGTGGCACAATGGTTTTAGGGCTCTAGGCTTCTTTTCGCACCCGCACACAGATCTGAAAAGCTGATCAATGCATTACACATGCATTCCTTCTCTTCTGCCCACCAAACCTAGAACAAAAAAAATCAGATCTACCATTCATGCAAATGTAATTAACTCTCTCATTTGATCCCATCATTGTCCCTCTGTCCATGTTACCAAAGCTAATCTTTTTTTTCCCCCAAGATATTATCACAACACAGAACGCACTGAGGCAAACACATCATCTGGTTCACTATTGTACATGATAATTTTCCCAATTCAGGATCATTTTTAAACAATTAAAACTAGACATAACTGACTGCATGTGGAAAAAATAATAAGCACGCTCCTAATTATATACAGTGGGGATGTATAGAAAGTTGCATCAAGAACATTAATGTGTGTATACTGTGGCTCCTAATCCTTCAAGGTCTGTAAATATAAGTTTGACTGTAAATTAGTTTCCCACTCACACTATTCCAACCTATGCACATCTGTGCTCACTATGGGGAGCTGTGAGTTATCAGTGTAATTCACTGAGAGTACATCTGCTAGCTGGGCTGTGACCTCCACACTAGAGGAGGGAGTGGGTGTGCAGCTCTGCAGGGTCATTGTTAAATCTCTCTCACTCCTACGGGAATCCGCTTCCTGCTGTTTGAGAGGATGTGCATGTGTGTGCGTATATTTCTGTGTTCTCTCCAGCACGAGTGAAGGTTTGTTACTGTGTGTGTGTGTGTGTGTGTGTGTGTGTGTGTATATACGTGCAATGAGGTGATGGTGGTTGTGGTGTGGAGGTGGGGGGAGGATTAAGCTGACTTAAGAAAATTACAAATGAAAGATTAGGAATAATTCTCATGTGGCATCTCATAATCATTTTTTAATCAGTGAGAGGGGTCAGAGAAAAGAGACAATGACAGAGGAACCATATGAGAGCAGAGATAAGAGCGAGAGTAAAAGAGAGAAGCGCAAGGGTAGGGGGCCAAGGCAAAAAAAAATGATGGAAGCAGAAAACAAGAAGGTGAGAGGGCATAGATAAAGATGAAGAGGAACAAAGGAAACACAAAGATATAAAGAACACCTAGATGGCATCAGATAAATGAAATAAAACTGGCCATGTTAAAAAAAATGAACCAAAGAAAACTGAATTACAAGTTRTGGGGCAACAAAAAAAGCCTTTTTCAAGCTTTTTAATTCACAAGTGTAAAATCTATGAGTTATGCATGCCTAGTTTTGTTTTACATGTTAAATCTAGTATTTACCTAGGCTCGATCCGAGAGCAGCAGCGGTTGCAGGATCTAACTGAAAGGGGTTAATCATCATCTGAGCATCTGGCCCACCATTGCCAGCCGGGTTCTCCAGTTTTACTCCTGCCAGGCCCATGTTTTGAGCCAGGTAGTACTGGTACAACTCYGCCTCTGCTGGGGCCAGGCCCAGATGGAGGCTGTGCTGGATCTGTTTCATGTTCTGCTGCAGCAGCATCATATTGTGCATGTGCTTCTCGCTGGTCATATGGATTCGTAGGTTCCGTGCAACGTTGGTCTCGTAGTCGCACACCTAAAAAAGAAAGATGGGTGTCAAACTATGTTTGAAAACTGTGTGAGCCACTCAGCCACATATTACACAAGCTTTTTTTTTCAAACTAATAATAAATTAAAATAAAAATAAGCATGAGTGCATCAGCAACAAAAACAATAAAAAAGTAAGTCATAAATCAACAAAATGCTGACATACTGACATAATAGGGCCAAAAAGCTACATTTGCAATGAATGTTATAATAACTGCACAATATTGGCAGAATGTATAAGATATTCTTTTTTATACCAGGAGTCAGATGATCTTTCTAAGAAAAAAAAATAAACAGACTCTGACGCACAGGGAGATAACTGCCTCATTGTGCAGTCAGTCCAATGAACTAATTGGTATGTTATTACCACTGTGCTAGAATAATGTTTTGTCTCTTTCATTACCTCACAACGCCAAGTGGGTTTCTGTTTTGGCTTGGAGGGAGAGGGTGCACCACAGTTTCCACCAAGGCTTGCACTGGGCACAGGGTTGGCATGGTTATGGTTGTATTGTGCCTCAGTGCCACCATTCTGGAGTGTTTGCACATTATTCAAATGCTTGTCCGACTGCATGTGGATGCTAAGGTTTCCTTTGGTGGTGGTTGAATAATTGCATACCTAAAAGAGAAAGATTATTAGACAAAATAATAACAAATAATAACATTTGGTAAACAAAAGCATTCATTCATTTTAACTAACTAAAAAGAGATAYGGAAAAAAAGACAAACAGTTATCCAAGAAGATAAAAAATAAACAGTGGACAGACCTCACAGCGGAAAGGCTTGTATCCACAGGTATAGCTTTCGCCTCTAGCTAAACGAGGGTGCGGCTGTCCTGTACGGCAGTATACACATGATCCACCAGATTCGGGGTGTTTTTCCTTCATATGAGCGTCCAGTGTTTGCTGGTACTTGTAGTGCCAGTTACACTTTGGACACTTTAGCGTCTTGCATGAGTTACGTGAATGCATCATTGTCATGTGCCCTCCTAGAGACCGTGATGATCCCAGGACCGTGTCGCATTTGGGGCACTCCACCCCACTGCCCGGGGATCCTTCACCTGGTCCAGGAGTGCCCGGGGTTCCTGGAGTTCCAGGTGTACTAGGATTTCCTGCGTTTTGATGTAGAGGTCCAGGACTCTCATCATCTCTGCGCATCATTATCATGTCAATCGGGTTGGAGGATGGTGATGTTCCACCGCGTCCAATCAGGCCTTCACTTGTAGAATCATTGCTGCTTTCCCTCTCTCTGGCAGCTGCCAGGGCATTGGATAAGAGGCTCTTCTCCATCTCCAGCTTYTCAGACATAGGCAGGGAGGAAGAGGAGGTGGATGCAGGGCCTTTGCTGTCACTGTTTAACTTAAGCACACTGTTGGAAATGGGGGAAATACTTTGGTTTAAGAGAGGGAAATCTTTGCTACTGGTGCAGTCAACTCGCTGGCTTGTCACTGCCATATTCATGGCCTGTTCCTCCTCCTCATTTGCCTCCATCTCTGCCCCTCCACAAATTGAATAAGTGTCCTCGTCCTGTTCTGGATTTTCTTCTCCCACTGTACTGGGTTCCCGCTTAATGGACGGGTACTGGCTCAGGTCCAGCCCATTGGGTTGCAAAGTGCATGTGTCCCTAACGTGGCCTTTGCAGTCACTATCAGAGTTCAGACTTTCTAGGCTGCCACCAACAGCAGCAACAGCAGAACTCCCACTGGGGGTTCTGTGGGCACCAGCCCCTCCCCCGAGGTTTGGGTTGGTCTCAGCCTTTGGCATGATTTGGGTTCTGGGGTTTTGGTCAGAAGAGGAGCTGCTGGCACTGCCCTTCAAGAAGGCAAAGCCTGCCTGAAGAGAATCTGCATTCTCCCCACTACTGTGGAAAGCATTCCACAAGCCTCGGAGCCCCGTGTCTGGCCCTAGGAAGTTGGCAGGTGAGGGAAAATGGGGTAGCACAGCGTTTTGGGGTTTTTTTGGTTCCAGAAAGCTTATAAGAGGTTCTTTGTCCTTCCCGATGCCCTGGATGATGGCAGARACATGCTTGTTGCTCAGTAGCTTCTGTTCCTGCTCATTCAGGGTCATACGGTGGTCATGAACAGCATGTGTCACGAAGGAACGGCTGTAGCCAAAAGACAGCTTGCACAGGAAACACATCAGCACAGGCTTCCGCCGCCCATCGGGCACACAGCCCTCAAACTTGGACAAGTCCACATTGTTGGGGACATCTTTGGACACACAGGAGTTTTTGGCTGCACCATCCGCCGTCAGATAGTCCTTGTCATTCTTATGGCGGAGGTCATAAACACGAAAACTGTGCAACACAGGACCAGCGCCCGCCAGCCCTCCCACTGAGGTATTTGGGAAGGAGGGGTGGTCGGCCGTGAGGGATTTACTCCCAAGGGATGAGGCGATGTGGAAGGTGTTGATGATCTGGGGGTAGAAGGACATGGGTGCAGCGGGATGCTCCAACCGTTCGCCACCTGGGCTCAGGCCACTTTGACCACTGTTGCCCAGTGTATTGGGGAAGGTCTGGGGGGACAGCAGGCCCCTGAATTGAAGAGCCCCTGAGAGCCCCCCCTGGTTACCACGCTGCTCTTTGGAGTCCTCCAGGATAAAGGCAGAGCCATCGGGCTGGTAGATGATCTCGCCACATAGGTTCTCCACATCACTATCCTCCTCCATCTCCATCTCACTGTTCACATCTCCTACTTCTGCAGCACCCACCTCACGATCTCCTTCATCCTCACTCTCCTCCCCTATCATCCCTTCAACCTCCTCATCTTCCTCGTGATCTCCAGCGATAGGCAGGCGGGCATTAGGGCAGTGGTGCTCCATATATTTTTGTAAACTGGAGAAGGATTTAGAACATTCGTTGCAGGGGATCTCCTTTGCCGGTGCCACAGGAGATGTGGCAGGGGCAGAACAGTCCGAACCCAAAGCTGCTCCTCCTCCTACTCCTGGCAAAGTCCCAGTAACATTCCCTTTGTTACTGGTAGTAAAGCTTTCTCTTCGACACTGCTCAGTTACAGGGTCGATGGTTGCACTGACAGTGGTGGGGGTGGTAGTGGACCTAAGCGGGCTTAAAACAGGCCCTCCGAGGCCATTCTCTGGCTCTCCAATGGCAGCAGGCAATGACTGGCTGTTGTTGCCATTTGTGACACTAGACTCCATGGAGACAACAGAGTTGTCCTCAGCAGCAGCATCCAACCTCTGGCCACCATATTCCTGCTGCCGTGACGACACCATGGGGGGAGAGTCACAAGTTGCCATGATGACCACTACATAGGGATCTCATCTCATCCAGCCCAGTAGGGACCTGAATAAAAGAAAGAGAGMAAGAGAGAGAGGCATAAATGGTTAATTTTAGAGAATAGGGTTTAACAACAGAATGAAAGCTAATTCTGAAATAATGCTAATTATTCTAATTCATTCCTATTAATTCCCACCAACATAAACCCTTACCCGTGTTATATGAAACACTGAATTTATCTAAAAGACATTTTAAGTATGGCAAGCTCTGTTATTTTTCAGATGCCAAACAAAAGCAAGTACAGTAGAAATAATAATAATAATAATAATAATAATAATAATAATAATAATTTAACTTCAAAAAACTCCTGTACATTGGTCTTTGGAATGTTAAGCGATTAAAGATTGTAACACATTGTTTTTGCATTACTGTTGCACAACTATCATAATCAAAATGTTGTTTTGAATAAAAATGTTGTTTTTTATTAATTTTTAGGAATTTCAGTAACATTTCATTATGGCCCTATGTTAAAGGGATCCATGATTAGTTGTAACATTAGACTTTATTTGATAAACATATATTTTAACGGTAAAATAAAGACTGTAAAAATACTGTAGGCTGTTTACTTTTTATAATTTTTTAACTAAAAGTTAAAAATATATTACAAGGACGGGTCATCTTATTTACATGCAAAGCATTCTGGGTAAATGATGACGTTGATAGGTCCTTGGTTTGAGGCTGCTAGCGAGCTATATCCACGCTGAAGGTTAATATGGATGGAGTACCTCAGTTTAGCTTGTTAGTTTGTCGCGCTAGCGCCGAGCTAATACATATAAGGCAATATAGCGTCGGTACTAGCGTGAATGCTAACAGGCTAAGTTGAGGTTCTTCTTCCATGAAGCAGCTCTGTTGTCCTCCATCCATATTTTCAGT